GAAATTGCACCCTATACGCATAGAGTTCATGATACCTTTCACTTTGCAGTGCACCAACCTAGCTCATAAGAAAAATCCAATCCAAAAATCCAAAAATTCGACGGTGGTAATGTCACCAAATTATCATCCCGGAGGACGAGTGTTCGAATCCCACCACCCCCGCCTGACTTCCACATTTAGGTGTTGTTGTATGGTAGCCCTTGGATTGGCCTCTTCATCGTTCCTAAAAATTGTATCACTGTGTATTCAATAAAAATGAAGTAAAAATGAAAAGAGTCATTGCATAACTACAATCTTTAGAGCACGAGCGCACGAAACAACCAGCTTGTTCTTTGGGTAGTCATGAAGCATTTATGCGGTTTGCTGACAAATATATTGGCAGTTGTACTGAGGTTTCCTGCAGACCTCATTGCTAACGACAAATTCTGCAGTAAGCAGCACAACATTGTCAACTGCATCCTCAAACCGATACATTGCTCATCACGGGAAACTGGATTGCACACATAGTTACATCAGGTTTTTACTATCAATTAGTGCTTCTGACCTTCTTGGTTCTGGCTTAAAGAATGAGGAATATCGTTGGACAGGGACGGTACGGGGTACATGGAAATGCGAAAACATTGATATGAATAGTGTCCATTGAAATCCCGTGTTCTATGAAGAAAAAAGAAAAAGAAAAAAGGCATTAAACATGTAAAACGAAACCAAAAACGTGTTGGTTTTCTTTTAGGGCCATCCCATCCCCTCCGTAGCCACAATCAGCATTGAAGTCCCTTTGACTTTCATGCTTGAGTTATTTTGATGTTGCTTGTTCCTCAAGCAGGTTTTAAAACACAACACATTTAATTGAACAACCACAATTTGGCGAAACAATTGTTTGTTTGTTTGTTGCAGATTGTGTTTGTTCTAGATGCTGTGATGGAGATCTTTCAGATTTAATTAAGGTAGTTTGCTCAAATCTTTAAACAAGACCTGGTTAGGCGCGAGGCACTCGATTAAAGTTAGCAGGTAGCAAATTGCTTCCCCCTTCGTCCCTGTCAGATCAAAAGAAGCTACTGTTTATCTCTAATTAAGACATCGGAAAAGAGCTAATTCGTTATAGCCTGTTCACTGAGCATGGCTTTTCATCAATAGCCGAGTTGATATCTTCATTGCTTGTGAAGAGGCAGTGTTTTGCTTGTCCCATGTTCTCATTTTGTGCTACCTAGGTCACCGTTGAAGTAGTGCAAAGGGACAGGGGAATTGTTCTTCCATCTTGATTACGGGTTTTTCTCCGTTCTCAGATCTACCGTGATTTTTGTTGCGTCACTTGCTCCTGAAGTTGCACTGGCATGTACACATAGTCCAGTTCGATGTATCTATTTATTGAGTTGACTGAAGAGTGCCAAGCCTCGAGAAATTCTCAGGCTTGTTTTGACCAGACCTAATCGATTATTTTCACTGGTTGCAGGTCGAACTGGTGTCCTTCTTGGTCTATGGTGAGGAAGACCAGTGATAGTGGGTCGCACCTCCTGACTGACTGTGAGAGAGAAGCAAATAAAGTGGGGCACCATGAGGTCCAGCCAAAGGAAGAGACAGAAAACTCATATTCAGCCCACCGGTGAATCTTTGTCCGTCGGATTTTGAATGACCGATCGGTATTTGTTCAGGGCTTGTTGGGAACACGTGAAAGAGTTCAAAGTGTGTAAGCAACAACAACGACAGAATGCGGTCTACTTCTCTCTAATCATAGAGGACCAAGAAAACCCGTTTAGAAGAGTTAGAGAAATGGGGTCTATAGCCATTAGTTGAGAATGATTACGTGCACAGTATAGAATAACTAGGACAATTTTAGATGTGTCCGATTATGAATAGCTACCGCCCACAATATGGTCCCATTCGCTGATGGAGAGGACTCAGGGGAAACGACTGAAGAACTTAAAATGTTTAGGGGTAAAGTCAAGTTTGAATTTGTGTGTGTGTGCTAGACCATGGATACGATCGACCATGCGCGCGGGGATTTCAACCATTTTGGATAGGTTACTAACAAAAGCAAATACCTTAGCTTCACAGCCAATGGATGTTGTGTTCACAAGAGCGAACTAGCCACATTTTGATTTTGACGTTGAAGTTGTAAAAGTTCATAATGTGACCACCCTGAAGTGCAACAAAGGAGCATCAAGTCCACAAAATCAATATCATCCGCTTCGGGTTATTGAAAAGAAAACAGAGGTTATTCAATACCATTACTTTGCAGTTAACCAAACTGGTCGTTGTCAATAAAAAAAAGATATTATTCAGAGGTAAAACGTTAGTAAAGCTAATTCACAGGTCATAAGAAAATCAGGTCACAGATTTACTGCAAACTGCTTCATGTGTGTTAGTCTGCGGGTGCAGAAGTAAGAGAGCTCCCAGCCTGGTACGTAATACAGAGAAACTGCAAGACTTTTGGGAGGAAGACACTGAACTTAAGGTCGCTATGAGAAAGGAAGAAAAAAATGTAATGCTGGTGAAACAATACAATACAATCGATTCACTATGGGATATCCTTGAAAAGTTCAACCGTTCCGATATTACTCTGCCCTTTTCAAAAAAAGAGGGAAGGCAGTTAGCGAAAACGATCAAAACATAGGCCCCCTTCATACAGCGGTGTAATTTTCTGTGATTAACCGCATAAATTGCTTTTCTTCAGTCAGAGATGGATGTAAATGCGTAAAGCAAACAGATTTGTTTTACAGAAGGGCCTGTATTGATAGGATCTCCTCTTACTTGGAACACTATTTCAACCTACCGACACAAACTTGGATAGCCAGTCACAGTCTGCTTCATCGATTTTTGCACATTATGTAACTTGATCAATATGGAAAGCGGACAAAATACCAACAGATCTAGTAAACCTAATATGATCCGACTGCGTAGACTGATCATCTTTGTGAATCAATAAATTGTGTCCTGAATTCTGGGGTTTGACAGAGTAATTCTAAATCAGTGGTGCTCTTTAAGGCCTAATAATGGGGCGTGCACAACCTGGTTACCACAACCTAAGCGTAGTCCTGCAAATCAGAAATGCGCATTGTCGCATTGAGAATAACGTCCAGTAAGCGAAGTAACCTTTTATTCCGATAATTTCCCCATTTGGTCCGTGTAACGTTATAGGGCCTATTTTAAAGAGGTTAGGATCATCGTATCTACAGAGAATATGACGTGTACTTATATAATCATCAGCTCGATTTGATCGTTCATGTGCCACCTCCCCCTCCCCCCCCCCCCCCCCCCCCCCCCCAGGTATGCATAGCTAACATTTAACATCATGGCAAGGCTAAAGCTCAAACGAGCTAACTCCGTTTATTAATGGGGGAATCCTTGACTGTATAGCGATCACCTTGGCAACGAAGGCTTGTGATAAATAATGTAGAACGATTTATAAACGGTAACTAACAATTGTGTAGCCAAGTGGTCTGTCGATAAACGGAACTTTTTACTGTCCTCTTTCTACCGTAACTCAACCAGCGGGGTTCGGTACTCGCGTATCATCTTTGACAGCTGCTTTCGGGATAAGCAAATCACTTTTTTGTTTCTTCTACACCACAATAGCCTTCTTTATGCCAATACAATGAAATTTAGTTATGATAAAATGAAGATAATTTGACGGTACCGGTCTCCTCAGTGCATTCAGTTCAGATTACCAGAAAATAAGAAACATAAGTTATTTTTCATCGATCAAGTGGTAATAGTGGTCCCCTATTGTGCTGTTTCCATCGTTTGGAGCCTGCAGCTCTTGAACGTTTGTCCCAGTTTCCCTAAAGATATCCACATGGACTTAGAGGATACAAATACTGTAGCTGAAACTTAAAATAGCTGGGTTTCGCAAATAAAGTATGAAAGTATAAATCATTTAGGGTTTACGTCAGAAAGACCGTTTTGCGCGTTAAAAGTCACTCGGTCGATTCAAATGATCGATCATTTTTAACGGTCCGAAGTTCTTTAACCGCATATATGACACTTCTCCATGCATTTGAGCTGTGTGGCCTGATACAACACGTAAGTAAACATACGCGTGACCTTAATTATGTCTATCTGTTGAAAGACCTGCAAAAACCAATAATCAATGAAATAGTTCACGTGGTTACTTGTTTGCTTTCCTATAGACGTTCAAAAATGTGCATCGCTCGAAGAGAACTTTTGTAAAGTTACCCCATTTCATGTTGATGGGTTATTATCGTTTTTTTACTTTAGGCGGTAGTCTTGCAAGAATCAGAGTGAGCTGTAGAATGATCTGCTCTGTTCTATCAGGTGGCCAAGATAATATAGCACGTTTTATAATAGGAAAGAAATCAGACTGATCAGAATACGCATAACACGCACATATCTACGCACACAGAGACGTTTTCCTCCACG